AGAGAGGGACCCAACCCTCCACAGCAGGTTTGGAGTACGCAGGCCGTGGGTGTGGACAAGTGAGAGATGGGGCCGCAGCTAAAAGAGGACAAAGAGTCAAAGGGAACAAGTGCGTGAGAATCCCAGTCACTGTTTGCCAGTTGTCCAGAGACAGGGACAGGAAAGCACAAGTCAGGGCGCCGAGGACCCTGGGGGGAGCAGAGCGCTGTGCTCTGGCTTAAAAGGCTGGGGTCAGTCCTAGCTCACAGTCTTGCAAGAAGCTTCTTTGCTTCTGAGCTGCATTGTTTTCATCCTCAAAATAAGGCTCTTGTAACTGGGACAGGAGGTGCTGCGAAAGCACTTTGTCAACTGTAGAGCAGTTGACATGCTCCTGGGAAGTAATAAGTGTTTTTAAGCGGAGTTGGTAGTTTTCAGAGTCAAAGGGTATCTCTTGAGGGCATTTGGGCCCTCCCAGAACACAGTAGATGTGCAGGGTGCAGGGTGGTCAGCAAGGACTGTATGTAACCTGCTCCTAGGCTGCCACCTGCTGGCAAATGCATGTAATGGCCGCCCACATCCTCAAGTGCTTCTGTCCAGGAAGAGGTACTGCAGCACATGTGTTGACTTCTCTGGGGGGAGCCCTAGCGCTAACGCTGGCAGGCTCCAGGGCAAGGGTGCAAGTGGAAGCCCCCAGGGCCCTCTTGCTCTCCTCAGTCTTGGCCTGTGCTCTCACTGTGAAGGTCATCACAGATGTGCAGGAGGCATGCTCCCAACAGACACTCCCCTGTGGCCATGCCACACAGCAGCAGTGAGGATACACCCAGAAAGAGACTGGTGCAGTGATTCTCGGGTCCCAAGCAGCTGGAGCATGGCCTAGAGCAGACTGTGGGCTCCAGGCACGTCCTCCAGGCCTCTGTGGGGTGTGGTCCTGGATTAGGGTAACCAATTTGCCCAGTTTGCTGATGTTGCCAGCAGCAACCTGGAAGGTTGATCACTATAAATGGCCCGAGGGGGCCAAAGCCTCTGCATCATCATCCAGGCTCAGCCCAGCCAGAGTTCAGCAGCTCAGGCTCAGAGGACCAAAGTGGACTCTGATGTGGCAGTAGCCTCCCCTCAGCCAATGGAGATTCTCGTGCCATCCTGCTCTCTGGCTCTAAGGCCCCTGTCCCAAACACTTGGCCCACAAATATGTTTGTGTGAAGAGATTCTTTATTTCCCTTCCCCTTCGTCAAACCACCCTGTACTGCCTATGAAGGGAAGGGAAGAGAAAGGGTGGATGGACTTCTGGAATAACTTCTTCATTGAGCAAAGGAAACAGGCCTGGAAGAGAAGAACCTTACCCCAAGACCAAGGGCGACTTTGATCTTGGCTCTTTGGGGCAACCCATACCCAGCCCCTTGCTCTAGTTGAGGGTAACCCCATGTGCCTAGAGGAAGCTGATCCCATCCCTGACTCTAAGGGTGGGGCACATGGTCCCAGCATAATCACATTGATTACTTAGCCTTGAGCATATGACCTAGGTTGGCCCAATCAGAACGAAGACCAGGACTTTTATTTTGCAAGGGGACAGATCTGGATCAGGAAGCAAAAACCCCTAGGGCAGGGACTTGACCAAGGCAGGTAGACACCAAATGCACAGAAGTTTGTAGCTATTTATTGCACTGAAAACACCAAGAATAAAACAGACACCCCGTTTTCCTTTCCCTCCCCCCTCCCCCAATAGCAGAAAGTTTGAGCAGTGGTCATTCAAGTTCACAGCCACATATTTTTAAAAAAGAAAAGAAAAAGAACTGAAACAAAACCCCAAACAAATAGTAACAAAGAAACCAGCATGGGGAGTCAGGCAAACACATCCCCCCAAAGGGTCTCCCTTTGAAGGGAGACAGGAGGCCACGGGTCAGGATTTGCACCAGGGTGGGCACAAACCCAGGAGAATACTTTCCTGTAAACGTATTTGCACACTGGAGCCTAGATTTGACTTGGGTTTGAATTTTTTTGCTTCTAAAGGATGTTTGGAGGAGCATGGAGTTTGGTGAGGGTGGGCTCTGGGCAGCTTTTTCTGCCAGTCTCCCCTGCCTGCTGCCTCAGGATCACCCCCTGGTGCCCTGTGATTTGCACCAGGTAGTTGCCCACCCACAGGCGTGGCCTTCCCAGTGGGGGCCATCTCAACCTGGGGTAAGGATGTGCCTCCACTTCTCCAGCACTTGGAGAGGGGCACAGTGGACAGGAGGTGTGTCAGCCAATGAAAGGCAGGACATTGGGGTCCTCCAGCTCAATTTCCTCTGGTGGGAAAATCGAGGTCCAGAGAAGAGAAAGGACTTGCCCAAGGTCACACAGCAAGCCTGGTCAGAGCTGGGAATTGAAGCCTACCAACCCCCAAACCATTGCTCTTTGTCCCCTGCAGTCTACTGCTGATAAGCAGTTGACAGGCACCAAAAAGGGGGATGAAAGGCAGGTGGGGGAGGGGATGGGGACTAGCCAGGTCCTGAAGTAAATGGGAGTCCAGCCAGTGGCTAACCCAGATATAATTGGCTTCACATCACCATATGGCTGATCCTCCATTGGCTGGATAGGAATACTTAACCCTTTTAACAGATGAGGAAACTGATTTTAAAGAAGAGCTCAGACCTTGTTTCAGTAACTGTAGCATCCCCTGGTGAAGGCTACACCCTCTCCTTTGGCTGGGGATGGCTGTAGGGAACTGGCTGGTCACAAGGGAGTAAGGTGGTTTTGCAGCTAGTACAATGTGATCACTGGACAGGCCAAAAGCCTACCCTTGGGCTGGGCACTGAAGTCTCTGCCAAGGACAAAGGCCAGTGATGGACCAGCTTGGAAGCCAGGAGGCCTAGGCAGCCTATTTCCTGGCCTGTAGCCCCTACCCAGCCTGTTTCTCCTGTATCTGGGCAGCAGGACTTAAGAAAAGAGCCCAGCAGACAACTTCTGATTGGGAGAAACTCAGAAAGTTCTGCATCAAACATCCTCACCAGTTCTGCTCTAACCAAAAACACCCAGGAGGGTTGGGGGTACCAGAGCCTCCTCCAAATCCCTGGGGATGTGGCTCTTCCTCCCCTAAAATCCTCCAGAGGGGACAGTATCTCATGCTGGCAAAACACGGCCACACAGAGGCCAAAAGCACAGAGAGGCAGCAACATAATTCCGAGTCGGACACTGAGAATACAACCTCTATTTTTTTTTTTTTTTGTCCAAAACATGTAGGTTGGTTTTGTTGAGTGTTTTTCTTCTTTTCATTTTTTTTTTTCAACTTACTTACTGCATATAAAGTCATGCAAAGAAAACAGTGCAGACAGTAGATCCTAGCAGATGTGCCAAGGTATTCCACATCGGAGTCAATCCAGGGGGAAGAGGGAAAGAGGAAAAGAAACAGAGAGAGTGCAAACCCGAGGCTGCAGGTTGAGGCGTGAAGAGTAGAAATTCCCAGTGTTCTGCTTCGGCCATCAGACGCCAAGGAGAGAGGCAATGAAGACACATGCTCATGGGCCCCCAGAGGTGGGCAGGGGGCGCTAGGGGCCGCACACAGATGTGGTGAGGTGAAATCCTGGGGAGTGCGGTAGTCAGAACCCCAGTTTGGGAGGGAAGCAAAGCCCAGATATTTCCATCCTGACGACCTCCCTCCCCCTCTCTGCCCTGACTTGCTGTTTCTTAGTGCTGGCATCTGATGCTTCCGCAGTCCTGAAAGGAATGCCTGTGTCAGCTTACCTTGGGACCAAAATGGCAGAGAGGCGGTTCTCCCTGGGGCTGAGTCCACCTTGACCCCAGATAACCACAGGTGACAAGGTCCACCTCAGAGATGACCAAACAAAAAAATCTAGAACAGAAAAAAACTACCCCTCACCCCTCTTCCTATCCCCCTTCCCAACCCAACCCTTCTCACAATAATTTGAGAGGTCTAGTTATTACATAAATATCCATTAACGCGAAATTGATTTACGAAATACACAGAAGTTTGGCTATAAAAAGGCATGCGGTCCAAGTAGAAGTGATACCTAAACGTTGCTTTCCTTTGCCCCCCAAAACAATTAGATTTCCTCTCTGAGATAAGATGAAGCTGGAATTCTCCAGGGATGATGGAAGGGGAAGGTGGGCAGGTTAAGCTGGAGGTAAACTTCACCAGAAGGAAGCAGGAAACAAGTGGGGGCCCCTGAGTGGGTGGCACCCCCTCACACTGAGGGAAGGCTCTGCAGACCTTGGCCAGGTTAGCGCAGGAGGGGAGAAGAGCTAGCGAAGCAGTTTGAAGCAGGAGGCTCCTGGCATCTGCTCCTCTCTCACCCTCGTTCTCGGGAAGAGGACCTGGGGGTTTCCTCTGCCCTTCCTGAGGACCCTGAAAGAGGTGTGATCCCAGAGAGGGATGGGTAGATGCCCCATTCCTCCCCCTCCTTCCCACCTTCTTTCCACCACTGGTGAGCACACAGCTGGACATTCTAGCCTACAGCCAAGGTAAGGCCAGGCTGCCAGCAGCCGGGGGAGGTGAGGGCCAGCATCCCAGGCACCCAGGCCTGGGGAAGCCCCACCCTGGCAGGTGAGAGAAAGCAAGAGTGAGAGGTAGGGAGTGGGGAGATTCGGCCATTTGCTCTGATGTAGTGATGGTTTTTGTGAATAAGCAGGTTTTCCTGATGCAGGTACAGAGGTGACAGTGGTGGGGTGACAAGATGGGGGGAATTCCAGCCAAATCCAAGGAGAACCAGCAGCCACGTTCCTTAGACAAACGGCACAGCAACGCAGGGACCCCAGCCTGGTGCTTCAACTGAAAGACACAAATGTGGGTGCTTCTGAGGGCACTGTGTTTTTGGTCAGGAAGCCAAGCTACCCCCCACCTAACATGGGCTGCAAGCTGACTCCTAGGGCTCTTGCCTTGCTCCTCCCCAACTGCAGGCCAGTCCCTTTCCTGAGATCTCCCCTCACAGCTCCCCACCCTTTCAGAAGCTGCAGCAGCCAGTTTCCCCCATACAGGTCAACATCCCTCCCATTCCTCTAGATTACCCTGGGGGGTGGAAAGGAGGGACTTACTGGGGCAGGACAGAGGGCGCCCCAGATCTGTGAAAGTGGACGATCTGCCATTTGCCATCCCGGCGGTGCCAGACACGGGTCTCCTCGGACTGGGCGGTGCGTGGGATGCCACCAGCATCCAGGTACTGCGTGATGCGGATGTAGGCGATGCAGGCTGACTCGTCACCCATCAGGTGGATGTGGGGATTCAGGATGGTGGTGTGCACAGGCTTGCTGTTCCGGGACCACACTGGAGGCAGAGGCGGAAGGGGCAGGGGATGCAACCGAGGTCTCCTGCCTCACTTCCTTCACTTTCTCAGCTCCTAGCAACCCTCTCAACAGAGGCTTCTCTGCCTGCCTCACTTGTAGGAGGGGGCCTCTGTGACAGGGCTCAGCAACCTGAGAGTCAAGGCAGGACTTTTAGATAACAGGGACATCATGTCCCAGCATAGACACAATGGATTCCAGACATGCCACATTCTTCAAACATGGGAAATGGTATTTTAGAATCAGATTTCTGGCCACACTAAAGGATAGGGCTGAGATGATTATAGAACCAGATGAGCCCAGACCAGAGTCTCAAACTCAGATGCTTCCAGGTGCCAGGCAGGCACATAAACGAGGGTGCTGAGCTGGGTTTAAGTTGCTGAATGACAATTGACCCTTTGTCTCTGTCGGGTCAAGGAATGAGAGGGAAAGATGGGAACCATGGTAAATAAACACCATGTCTCATTCTAAAGAGGGCGCCCTATCCACAGTTTTCCTGGTGGTTGCTATGTGCATAACAGGGGCCCATGCTGATTTCAAGAGAATCTGGAAATCTGGATTTTTACATGAAAACTCTTCATTTTTAATTACTGGCATTTGATTCAAATTTAATACTTCGTAGAGGCCCCATGAAAGATACCCGCAGTCTAGATACGGCCCATGGGCCCCCCATCTGCCACTGCTACTGTTGATATAGTACTATGGAAATTTGGGGAATACTAGAATTGCAGGATCTGAGAACCTTGCAAATATAAGGATGGCATTGGTGGTTGGAGCTTTCCTGAGTTAGGGGAGAAATGCATGCCCCTTACAATCACGATAAGAACTGACAAAGCGCATGACACATGTTCCAACTGTATGAAATTTGACCCACCCCTACTAGTATTATATTGATTCTAGAAGCTCAATTTTTTCATCAATATAGAAAACAGAATCATAGAGAGACGATGCCCCAGGGAGGGGCTGTAAAACAGTGATCAGTGTCTTGGGCTTGAGAGGAAGGAATCCTTCCCTTAGTGTCACCCACATGGAGGTCTGAATTAGTAGAGAGTTGATTTAAAACACAACCCCGCCTTTACAGAGCCCAGTTCAAGAATCAAAAGTTCTCTTCTCTGTCCCTACACCCTGATTCTGATGCCAGGTTTGTGAGCCTCTTACGTCCTGAAGAAGGTAAAGTGTCTTTTCACCCCTAAAATGCAGAAAGCAGTCAATAGCATCCACCCCTTAGTATTATAATCTCATTGTACCCAGGCTTGGATAAAGGACATAAAATCAGCAAATCTGTGTAGAATAACAGAGAACTCTGGGCTGTCAGAGATATAGAATATAGAGTTTTAGCATCATAGACTTGGGTGTGACCTCAGAAGTCAGAGGTCACCACCTCAGAGGTACACAGAAGAGGCACACAACTACAGAATTTAAGGACCCCACTGTAAGTGCCCCTGGCGGCATCCAGTGCTACAGGCACATAGGATCATCTGTTTCAATGTATCCATTTATCAGATATGGAAACTGAGGTCCAGAGAAACAATCTGACTTGTCTTAAGCTGGGCAAGCTCCTGAGAAAAATGTAGTGGACTCTGAAAGAAGTCCATCTCCAGGTGAACGTTCTAGAACAATCCCAAGAGGCACAAATAGCTTAGCATTGTTGAGGGGCCTGGGACATCTGTTATCAGTAAAGGCTGATAACAGGAAATAGTATCAGGACCCTTAGGGGTCCTGAGGGGAATTTTTAAAGAAATGCCCCCTAATGTGGTATCTTTCAAAAAGGTGAGAGGCATCTAGTATCTGTTTTTGTGGATAGAGTGGAAGCAAGGGCCGGTCTTCAGCAGGAAAAGATAGGCATCTAGAGGGTGGGACTTAGCCAAAAGCAGGCAATTACTCTGGGCATTGCTCTTGTGAGGTCTGCCTTTGAAGTCACCAGATGTTTAAGCCTAGAGTCCAGGGGACTGGTGCTAAGATGGGGCCTGCTATACAAGGCAAGTCACAGACTGCTTGGCCTTCTGTGTTTGTTCCCCTTCGCAACCCCGGGGCATTTGGAGTTGGCCTCAGCCTGCTCTCTGTTCTGTTTTGGTGGGGATGGGGGTGGGGAGGCGGGAAACCAGAGGACAGAACAGGTAATGGTGGCCACAGTGATCTGTGAGGGAGCTCCAGGATCAAGAACTCTCATTCTTCATATGCATTCTCTTCATTGCTAGCCTTGGAAAATCAGAGCTTGGTTTATTAAAGGAAGAGGTAGCTTTCTTCTTCACAGCTTTTTGGGGGTTTGCTTGAGCCTCTAAACTCTATGAAATTCAGCCAGAGAGGGTACAGGCCAGGCAAGCACTGTCAGTCCCAGCTGGGGCGTGCTAATGTGCAGAGCAGGTGGTACAGGGAAGGGAAGGGACGCCGGGAGAGTCAGCTCAGGTCCAGGCTCTGCTGCCAGCTTTCTGGAGTCCTTGGACAAATCATCTCCCCTCTTTGGACCTCAGTTTCCTCTTCTACATGATGAAAATTTGGACTAAATCTGACTTCCTTGTTATTTTTAAAGTACCACCTTTGTTATTTTTATCATATACAAATGCCACCTGTATTTACATCATTTTTTTTTTTTTGAGACAGAGTCTCAAGCTGTCCCCCTGGGTAGAGTGCTGTGGCAATGCAGCTCATAGCAACCTCCAACTCCTGGGCTCAAGCGAGTCTCCTGCCTCCACCTCCCAAGTAGCTGGGACCACAGGCAGCTACCACAACGCCCGGCTATTTTTTGGTTGCAGCCATCATTGTTGTTTGGCGGGCCCAGGCTGGATTCGAACCTGCCACCTTAGGTGTATGTGGCTGGCACCTTAGCCACCTGAGCCACAGGCGCCGAGCCTGTATTTACATCATTAAAATAGTTCCCTGAATTGATTCACTTTACTGATTTATATACATTTATTAAAAAAATTTTTCTAGCATAATTATAAATAAACAATATTATAGAATAGCATTTTAATAATAAGGTCAATGAAAAGAAAAGACATATAATCCTTGCTCCACGCTCTTGCCTATAAGACATCTGAGCCTGAGATTTGCTCACTCTTTGATAAAGAAGGAAGTTAGAAGAGGCAAAGAAGCATTAAAGTCAGGCTACCGCCTTGCTGAGCCTTTCCTCTTGGTGGAGCCAGAGTACTAAAAGAGAATTAAAAAGGGACCAGCTCTCTCACTGTATAAACTAATGCTGTTCCAACTGGTGCCCATCTATACCTAAAATCACTGTGTAGCCTCAGTGGTATATGCCCTTCACTTTGGGGGACCCTGGATCTGTCACCTCTCAGGTCCTTCTTCCTTGCACTAAGCTGTGTGATTCTAACCTGAGTCCCCTTTGTTTCATTCCTGTCTGACCCCTGGCCTAGGGAGACACAGACACAGGCAGAAAGCATTCTAGGTCAGGCCCAGCCTCGACTCCCTGACAGCCCCTGGATGCAAAGCTGCCAAGGTCTCTCCTACAGAGGAGAGGCCCGGGAAGGACAGACATGCAGGACAGAGACCTAGACAACAAACAGGCAGGGCACAGCAGTGTGAGCTCACTGTACTCTCCGCTTTCCCAAACTGCCTAGCCACAGGGGGCATTTGCATAACAACCTAGGAGCCAGCCTGTGACCAGCTGGCGTATGGGAAGCCACTCTTATCTATAAAAAGGGAGTAAAGGCCATCCTCAGGCCTCTCCCAGGGTCATGGGCAGGAGAGGCTTGGGAGGACTTGTCATGTGTGTCCCTGGTCCCCCTTCATCCCACCCTCAACCACAGGAGAGATAGCTGGCAGTTGATGGGCCAGGGTTAGGAGAGGGAACCAAGAGGGTACCAACCCCTGTCCACACGGGATCTTCCTCTTCGCTGGCTCCTGAGCTGCCCCTGGGGCCCTGCCCGTCACCCTGCTGTGCTGTCAGGCAGGACACAGAATGAGAGCAGACAACAGGCACCCCAGAGAGAAGAGATTGCTCACGGTTTTCAAAATAGAATCGATGGAAGTCCAGACCCTCGACCAGGTTCCCCAGGGCCTCGGGTTCAAAGGCTGTCATGCCGGGGTCACACATCTTCCTAGGGGAAAGAAGCCAGAGGAAAGAGGGGCTGGGGCAGCTTCTCACTGGACCCTTGGAGGGGGAGCCTGTGAAATAGGAATGATTGCACCCACCTCACAGATCAATGGGGCTAGTGGAGGAGAAGGGGCTTGCAGGCTGTGAAGTGTGGGACACAGTGCCATATAGAGCCATAGAGCCTGGGTTCAGGTCCAGACTCTACCACTGAATGGTTATGAGACTTCAAGCAAGTGGCTTAACCCCTTGAAGCAAGAGTATCTGGGTGGTGGTGTGGGGTTGGGCAGTGCACTAAAGGTGCCGGCAAGGATGGAATTTAGCCTCTCCAAATTTTACTCCCTGGCTCAGGCAGTGGATCCAGAGAGGGCTTTTTCTAATTTGTCTTCTTGGCAGTAGGAGGTGCTTTTCCTTCACATAGTAATGACTTCTGCTCACCAAGCCATGTATGTACCTAAGGGGGTGTGTTTTGCTAATTTGAGCAAAGGTGCCCTATTGCTAGCAGCAGCACTGATTGCGAGGTTCAGAGTCCTTTCTGTAAGATGAGGAAAATAGCATTAGGTGAGGTAGTATCTGAGGGGGAAGGAGCACAGAGTGTGACAGGAGGCAGTCACAATCAGAGGCTGTTATCCTCAGCTTGTTTCTCTCTTCCAAGTCTCAGTCTTTCCAGGGGACTCTGATAGCCAGGTGGGGGACAGGAACAAACAGTGTTTCTTATCTTTTATGGCACAATATGGACCTCTGTGACAAGAGCAATGTAATCAGTGACAGGAAATGCCCTAGGACATGTTCCCAGTCAGAGGTGGAATTGGAGATAGCCAGAAGCGGGCATCAGACCCAGCACTGTCTGAGCTGGACAAAGCCCTTGCAGGGCATGTTGTTCCTGCTCTGTCCTGTTGTTCAGTGACCTCTGACAACTCACTCCTTCACGCAGAACCTTGAGTTCTCTGGCTGGATTAAGCCAGGGAGAGGGGAACTGTGCCCAGAACAAATGTGATGCTCAGACCCTTCCAGCTGCAGCACCCTCCTAGGGTGGGGATCTGAGCACTGAGTGTGCAGGGGACTGAACACCCCACTGAAGAAGCCTCCGTCCTGGAAGTAGGTGGTGTTCCTGCTTCCTAGAATGAAAGCACTCAGTGGCCATCTCCTCCAGCTCCATCATACATGTAGGGAAACCAAGACTCAGTAAGATAAATAGACTTATTCAAGGTTACACAGGGTCAGAAGGTGATGGTAAGGGATCAGAACCCAGAACAGGCTGCCCATCTCAGAGGAAATAACATCACAGAGGGGGAAAGGGTTCCCCAGGACCCCTAGAAATGGCATTGATGAGCTTAGGGGCCACAAGGGCCACCTCTCTTTCCCTTACTCCCTGGCTGTGCTCTTCCAGAGCCACCAGCGTGATACGTCTCAACTAAACTCTTTCTAGAATTGGCTGTAAGACCAGCTTAACAGCCTGTTTCTATGCAATATCTGGGTACACACATGCACACACACACCTGTGCACTCTGTGCACATGGTCAAAACATGCACCCGTGTGTACAAGCACATGCATATGTATATGTACTTGACAGCCTCAGATTCATGCAAGCTCCCTCCGAGCACCCTGCGCTCCAAAGGGGAGCAGTGAATTTCTAAAGGCTTTTCTACCCACCACTGCTGAAAATCCTCCTACAATTAGAAGGTGCCTGGCCTGCAAAGCCTTTGAGAGGCAAACTTCAGCTCCCGGGAAACCAGGAACAGTCTGCCCAACGAGCATACTCCAGCCAGGTTATTCCCAACCCACCCCACCTTAACCCAGTAGGCAAGGATCACTCTGCTGTAGTTGGTGATCTTTGTCTACCAAAAAGTAAATGTGGGGTCTCCACACCCAGGCCAAGTGTTAAGGCCTAAGCCAAGAACGCTACTAATTTGTTCTCCCAGGGGCTAGTTAAGGGCCTCTGAGGTCTGCTCTGCAGAAGACCAGGAAAGGTCTGAGTGGCCAGCATGGGGGCTCTGACTCAGCCCGTGCACACAGCTATGCCTCCAAGGGTGGGTCCAGGCACAGGCTGCCTTATTCAACCAGAAGATTTCAGATTCTGCTCTGAGGACTTCTTACACCTGCTCACTGAAGGCACACACTATGGCTCCTTGTTTGCTCCTGCCCATCTGAGGTCAGAGGCCCGGGGAGGTCCAGAGTGAGGACTCAGACCCATTGGGCAGGACTGAGGGGAGCTCACCTCCTGGGGGGCCCGCTCTGTGAGGATGACCACCCCCTCCTTCCTTGAGGAAGCAAAGGTGTTTTATTGGAGTTTCTCCTGGGGAACAAGGTGTGAGGAGGAGGAAGCATGGGAGGAGAGGGACTGAGATACAGAGAAGTGTTGTGAACAGAACGCTCAATATAAGCATAAAGTCCAAAGGCAAAACAGAAGTATGAGCTCAGTCTGACTCATAGCACATGCAAGGTGAGTGGATGAGGATCAGAGACGAGGACCCCCCAGAGTTAACCATTAGTGCCCCTGAACAACGAGCCAGGCAAGACATGCAGAACAAGTCCAGCCAACTCACGTGTAAGACTCAAAATCTCCATTGCTTATGGCTTCAATCAGCTGCTCTGTCACTTTTATAATTTCCTGTTTCCGCACTGTAAGTCAGAGGGGACACAGAAATAGCAATAATAATAAAATAGTAGCAATAATGAAGCACCAACTACCATTGCCTGAGTCCTTATCACGTGCCAGGCCCTGTGCGAGGATCTGAGAACCTCATATAAATAAGATGGTCTCACTTATCCTTGCATCGGCCCTGGGAGATGGGTACCATCAGCCGTCTTTCCCAGGAGAAGAAACTGAAGCCAGATAGGTTTAAAAAGGTATGAAATGTCTCTCTACTACGAAGGGTAGAGCCAGTGGCTCAGTTGGCATCCATTGCTTCCAAAAATCACATACGGTGGGCATTTTGTCCCCAGGTCTTGACTCAAAAACATGCATCACCACCACCTTTCTTTGTCACATGAATCAAAACAGGATCGACTACTACATCATCACTAATAGCCAGGAATCAGGGGCTCCCCCATGGCCAAACAGGGGCTCACCCCTTTAGTCTGGGTAAGCTCTCTGCCTAATTTGGGTGCCTACAGGAATCAAGTCCTGAGCTGTCCAGAACATTCATTATGCCTTTCTAGGCATAATGAATCCCAGTTGCTGAGACCTGGCCTTCTTTTGTCAGCCACTGAAATACCACAAGCAGTTGGTCTTTCTGGTAGAGAGTTAGACATTAGTTTTCGTTCCTGTTAAATGGGGATATTGCCAACTCTCATTCATTCAGAGTGGAACAACTAGTGGAAAGTATCCAGGCTTTGGTCTCAGACAAACATTCTTCTCAATTCCAGCCCAGGTCCTTATAACCTGTACAACTATAGGCCACAAGGTTGTATGCTGGTCTGTCAAGTAGAGTTGACGGTATCCCCCTCCCGGAGTTGTTATGAGGACAAGGTGATGGGGTGGACACAAAGCCTGGCACATAATAGGCACACACCTAAGTGCTGCCATTTGCTGCAGCTGGCAGCCCTTCCCCTGCTAGGAGTGCCTTATCAACAAACACCTGGGAGGCTGGCCAGGCCAGCTTCTCCCAATTTCACACATGAGGGGACTGAGCCTCCGCAATAGAGGAATTAGAAGCCAGGTGTCCTGGCTCTCAGTAGAGCTAACAGGAGAAGACACCCTGGTTTCTCAGGAACAGGCCCTCTCTCCTTCCTCCCCTCGGCTGAAGCTCAGCTTCAAACCCTGTCAGCTCACTGGCCAATAGGAGCAGTCTCAGGAGAAGTAGAGGAACACATTCCCTGAGACGGAGCTCAACCCTCAGCATTCTTTATCAGGGAGCCTGGCAGGGAACCCAAGCCCACCAACGCCCTGCCCAGCCGTCCCTCATCAGCTGCCCATGCTGCCCTAGTCCATACTGGGAGTTTACCTCAAGCCCAGAGGACACAGAACAGAGAACATCCATGCTGCAAGAAACCCTTGGAGGCCATAGACTCAGATTCCTTATCAAACTATTGGGGAAACTGAGGCTCAGTGAGGGGTTGTGATTTGCTCAAGGACACAAGACACAGCAGGTCAGAGTCAGGCTCCCAGCCCAAGGCCCCCATGAAGTTGGTTGGCCGTTATGTTTGTCTATTCCCAACTCAAATACTAGTTTACGGAGGCCAGGCCATGGCTTCTCTCACCTGCTGCATCCCAGAGTCTGGACCAGGCCTGGTACTCACAGGCCTTTACTACTGAATAAATGAATGGGAGAGAGTGCTTAGCCTACTGAGTCCCAAAGCCTCACGGCACAACTTCCCTTCCACATCACAGATGAGCAAACTGAAGGTGAAAGAAGCTGAATAATTTGCTCCAGCTCCAACCCCAACCAGAGTTTGCGATTCCAAAGCCCCTCATACTCTTCCCACCATGCCTGGCACTAACCTTGGCATGAGGTGGGTGGTCAGTAGATGTTGTAATTATCATTCAGTGTCAATTACCACAGTGAAAAGCTAATTCTTTCTCTCCTGGCTCGAATCAGAATGACCCAGACTGAGAGTGAGGCCATCTTTAGGCCATGAGTGCCATAAGGTCACACAGGGTTTGCCCTCTCTCTCTCTCTGAGCCTTTCTGAGGCTAGGACAGAGGTGGCACTCAGTGCATATGTGCTGAGTAAATCAATCAATGAGTGGATGGTGCCAAACTGCTCCATGGACTGCTCTTTTTGTCCTGTCCCCTGGAATTGCCCAAGAAGTCACCTGGTAGCCACTGTCCCTAGGAAACTCAGAACCTGGTCTGCTAGTCAATGCTGTTAATCAACTCTTCCCTCCTTCTGGGAAGCTGGAGACAGAGGATGGGAAGAAACTCAGCCCTTTTATAGCCACCTCATTCTGGCCACTTTCACACAGAATCAGGGGTGATGCCCCTCCATGGGCCCCAGCCCCTGCCCTCTCTCTGTGGACATCTAGATCCCTCCAGCTTGCCATTCTACCACCCTTTGCCTCACGTCCTGTCTCCTGTGCTGCTTCTCACCACCTCTCTGAGAGTCTAGCAAAGTGGTTGAGGATATATATTTGGGAGCCAGGCTCCCTAGGTTTGGATTCTAGCTATGCCACTTAATAGCTGTGTGACCTTGGGAAAGGGACGTCCTTGTGCCTCAGTTTCCCCATATAGATAATGGAATTACTAACTTACCTTGTAGAGTTGTTCTGAGGATTGAATTAAAAATATACCTATAGAAATAGCTAACACATGTATGTCCTCATGGAGAGCCAGCTGCTGTTCCAAACCCTTTATATCAACCACTTATGTAATTAATGCTGCATCATGTAAAGCAGTTAAGGCATTGCCGGGCACTCTGGAAATGAGAGCTGTGATTATTATTATCTGGAAATCTCTGAGCCAGAAGTTCCTCCTGAGGACAGCCTTGAATCTGTGGTCAGGGCAGGGCTGCTTCCCAGCAGCCTGATATGTGGTGGTTTGGTCTTGGTTGGCACCTTGGGGCTCACGGCCTGCCGAGTAGACCATAAGCAGGCCGCAAGACTGCACTGTTGGACAGCTCTCGCTCTTGGTGCCACCTCTTTCCTTCAAGTTGAAATCTATCCCTCTGAAAGCCCCAAGTTAGAGTTCCAGTCTTCTTTCTGCCTTCTGGGGCCCTGAAGTGAGCACCTGCTCCCCTAGACCATATGCCTGCCCTGAAATCAGTCTTCTTAGGGCCTCCACGATGCAGTTTCCAGTTCCTGACTCAAACTGGCCATCTACTCCTTAAGTGTCCTTGAGCTGTCTGCATACCTCTCTAGGTAAGAACAAAGAATCTCAGATGTGGCCTGAGTAATAAGAATAATGCAGGTCTGGGGTAGCACTCTCTGTCTCCTTCCCAATTCTAAATATTATACCTCTATTAATGCAGCCTGAAAAAATGCCTGACTTGGCCGTGCCTCTAGCCCTCAGGACACCAAATTTGCCAACAGTTGAAGCCTAGTGAGTAGTAGTCTACCTAGTTTTGCTCTCTGGGACAGAAGACTCTGAGGGCCCAGTGCTTCTTCAGTCTAGAAAAGTCTATTCTAGTCCTGGGTCCTTTCTGAGCCCTCAGCAGCCCCATTGCCATTTAAGGGATTCATTCAGCAGCTTCTCAGCTTTTTTTCTGCCAGGTGTTCACCCAGACAATCTGGGAATGCTCCCTACAGATGGGAAAGCTGAGACCCCAGAGAGGTTAAGACACTCTCTCAAGATCACACAGCATGCTGAGCCTGAAATGGGAGCAGCATTTCGGAATGATATTTCCCGGAATGTCTCTGCCCAGATTCTGAGGCAGCTCTTTAGCAGGAGAGGAAATTAATTTTTCATGGAGTTAACCAGAAGGAGATAGGGGAGTGGGGAAAAAACCTGGAAGAGCCTTGTGCAGCTCAGAGGGTGAGAAGCCTCTGCGCTGAGCCAGGGGTGCCCTGAAATATTAATGTCTCTTTCTCTCCTCAGGGGAAAAATGTTCCCTGGAGGATGACATTTCTAATTAACTTTAATGTTAGGTCAGAGTCCACCCTACCAGCTGCTAGTCTCACTTAGTAAGAAGATTTAACAAATTAACACTAGCAAATGGTTCTCTAGAAACTTTCTTTAAGGTCTGAGAGGCTGGGGGAGGTACATGAGCTTCTCTGTCCTGCTGAACATGGGGAGAAGCTCCTGACTAGGCCAGTATCTCCTCTATCAGACATGGCCTCCGAGGCTTTTGTACATGTGAGGAAACTGAGGCAGAGGATGGGGTTCTGCCATTAATAACCCATATGTGCGTGCCCTTTCTCCTCTCTGGGCCTCAGCTTTCTCTCTGTAAAAGGGACAGTGGTAACCCAAAATTCAAGACTTTGCATACTGCTCCATCCTGATCCCTCTAAAGTAAAGGACAATGATTGCAAATGTGGGACCTCAGAGAAGCAGCATAAATCCATTACTCCAGGTGCAAAATGTCTTTGCTAGCTCCTAATTTACATGAATAGTACACACAAATGTTATACTCTATTCCAAATATTTCTGTCTGTCTAACATATAAATTTGTCTTAAAATATCTTTGAGTAAAATTGATGCTCCTGGTTTCCTGTCATTCAAAGAACTCTAGTTTGAAAAAGGAAATTAAGATTTATTAAACCCTGATATTATGTGCCAGACACGGCACATACTTTATATGCATCCTCTGTTTCATCTGCACAGCAGTCCTCTGAGGTCGGTGCTATCATCATCATTTCTTTACCATTTTTTTTTTCTTCTGAGACAGAGATTTGTTTCGTCAACCCACGTAGAGTTCAGCAGCAGCATCGTATCTCGCTGCAACCTCAAATTCCTGAGTTCAAGCGATCCTCCTATCTCAGCCTCCTGCAGAGCTGGGACTACAGGCACTGCAAGACCATGCCCAGATGATTTTTTCTATTTTTAGAACAGATGGGGTTTTGCTCTTGCCCAGGCTGGACTCAAACTCCTGACCTCAAGTGATCCTCCCACTTCAATCTCCTCGAGCGGGGGTAGCATTGCAGGTATAAGCAGCACTGTGGCCAGTCCCATTCTTTACTGTTAAGGAAACTGAAGCTCAGAGAGGTTGAGCAACTTGTCCAAGGTCAATAGCAAATGGACCTCCATGGAGAAGAGCAGAGGCAAATCACCTCCAGGTCTGTGTTTGCTCTGAGGGCTATGAGGCCATGTCCAGTCTCCTCAGAATCCCAGAATCCAGCTCTTACCATTGGGCAGTGAGCCTCACATATGGGGGATATCTTAGAAGCACCATTTCTTTGTCTGACATAGACCTATGGAATCAGACTCCAGAGAGGCAGGGCCAGGAAGGAATGTAGTTAGAAGGTCGGCTGTGGGACTAAGAATGCTGACTTGAGCAGAACAGGGAATTCTTCTTCAAGATTATATATATATATATATAATATATACAGCAAGCTCAAACTCTTGGGCTTAAGTTATTCTCTTGCCTCAGCCTCCTAAGTAGCTGGGACTACAGGCACCCGCCACATATTTTTTTGGTTATAGTTGTCATTGTTGTTTGGCAGGCCTGGGCTGGGTTTGAAGCCTCCAGCTCCAGTGTACGTGGCTGGCTCCCTAGCTGCTGAGCTACAGGCACCAAGCCAAGATAATATATTTTCACGTTTTTATTTATTTGTTTGTTTGCTTATTTATTTTAGAGATGGGGGTCTCTCTATGTTGCTCAGGCTAGAGGGCAGTGGCTAGTCACAGTTGCAATCATAGCATTCCTGGCCTAAGTGATCTTCCTACCTTAGCCTCCCAAACAGCTCAATATAATGTATTTTTGAAGGTTGTCCCTGATGCCATCACAGAAGATGGATTTGCTCTACCAATAGGCTGTAGTGACAGATTGCCTATCACCCCTCAAGTTGGGAACAGCCAGAAAGGGACACACACAGAGTGGGGCCCATCTTGCAGGTGGCGTGCAGAGCCAGGAGGCAGTCGTGTGTGGTGTGTCCAAACTGGTCAAAAGCCTGACTTGCAATTGTTCAAAAATATTCATTACATAATAAAACGCTTGTGTCCCCATTTTTATATTCTAAATAACATATCTAAACTCCTAAAAACAAATGTCTAAACTGGTATGGTTGAGTTTCCTCTGGGTCAATAGTCTAATCCTGTATTTCAGAGACTCCCTGGCCATCTCTGACTCACTCCCAAGTGTGCAAACACCAGATCGCCCTGTTCTAGGGAAGGAGGAGGGCCAGTTGCTAATGCATTGGGGATTTGGTGTCCCTGAGCAGAATTCAGCACTCCCTGCTCCTTCCTCCACGCTCCTACTGCAGTTTCCACACACCAAGGCCTTCAGAGTGGTAGCACCTGGGTTCAAACCCTAACTACCCTCATGAGCTATGGGACCTCAGGCCAGTGAACTCAACCTCTCTGACCTAAGCTGTGGAATGGAGTTTGTCCCAGTACTGCCTTTATGGGGCTGTTGTGAGGCTTCAGTAAGTCAGTTCAGATGAGAGCTGGGAACCAGGCTGGCGCACAGCAAGTATTCCATACGTGTCAGCCTTTATTGCTATTCCTGTTGTGCCCTTTCTCACAATCCAGTCCCAGCTGCCCAGGCCTTTGCTCCCTCATCCATCTGAGAGCTTTTTAGGACTTGCCAGACACTAGCCCCAGTAGCCCCTGCAGGCTCAGGGTGTCTCAGGCAGCGTTTCCCATGCTCCAGCCAGCTGAACTTACTGAGTTTTTGCTGTTCCTTCCTGTACTATTGCTACTTCATGGTTTTAAAATCAACTCATTTTTTAAAAAAACTCAAAAACACTTATCTCATAAGGATAATTTTTATCACTACTTTACACTTATGATTTGAACATGTTAAACTTTTATTTTCTTTCTTTCTTCTTCTTCTTTTTTTTTTTTGGAGACAGAGTCTCACTCAGTTGTCCCAAGCTAGAGTGGCATGGTGTCATAGCTCACAGCAACCTCAAAATCCTGGGTTCAAGCAATTCTCCTGCCTCAGCCTTCCAACCATTAAGATTATAGGCATTGGCCACAATGCCAAACTAATTTTCTTCTCTTATTTTTTTTAGCAGAGATAGGGTGCCACTCTTGCTCAGGATGGTCTCAAACTCCTGAGTTTAAACAGTACACCTGCCTAGGTCTCCCAAAGTGCTAGGATTACAGGTGTGTGCCAATAAGCCCAGCCATGTTCAACTTTTCTGTAGTATGCATTAAGGTAAATCTATAACTTCTAAAATAAAATAATGAATGTGCCAGCAGTAGTTCTAGCAACCCACAGGGCAAATAATCCATAGTGTACCCATTTTGTGAGGAGTTCTTTGTAAAAGAGCAGCCACAAGGTGGGCCTGGGGCCCCATCCAGGTTGGGAACTGTCAATGAAGGGGTTTTGTCCAGATGGTACCGGGCAGTTGTGGAGCCTAGACCCTGAAGGCAAGGCCCCTCCCTACCTTTGGTGTCTTCATCCTCAATGGTGGTGTTGGTGCTCTCAGAAGATTCCTGCCAAAAAGAACACAGGGGATGGTGAGGCCAGTGTGGCAAGCAGGACAAGGCACAGCCAGGCAGGGCTGTCCAGCTGCCTGATGTTGCAGCCTGCTTTCTGTCAGCCTCCCAGGAGCTGCCATCCAGATGCTGTACTGAAAACCTTGCCAAACTCTCCAGCCTAAGGAGGGGGAAGGCCCAATGGAGTAGGTGGCCAGGGGCCAGGGCAGGGATGAAGGAATGGCTACAAGGAGAACCCTGGCCTTTCCAGAAGGGTTAAGAGGAGGTTCTCGTGTCCTTTCTGCTCGAGGGGTCAAAGAGGGGGTATGGAGGAGCAGAGAGACACCATAGCGGCCGCAGAATGGGGAAGGAACCCACACTGGCAGGAGAGGAAGAGAGAGAGAAGGAGGCCCAGTGTGAGAGGGTGGGCTTTTCAGAGGGGAGGAAAAACCACACAACTGAGTGAGACAGCAATGGAATCAGATGAAGAGGGATGTGGGCCACCATGCCACCACTGGAGCCCCTAGACAGAGGCAGGGCTGCTGGCCCCTCTGCCACCCGTGGGCCGGGTAGCCTAACTCAGGCTCAGGAGGGGCCTCCATGGCACTACTACTATTACTACTACCAAGCCCACCCTTGCTGCAACTGGCACAAACCAAGCCTGAAATAAATTCCAGAGCAGAGGGGAAGGGAGAAGCGAGAAGCCAAGGGCTGGATGTGGGGTGAGGTTCAAATCCACCTTCATACCAAAAGCAGGTCTGCTATTGGCCTGCTTTTCCAGACCATGGAATTGTAAGTGTCAACAGAAACACGCAAACAACACACACACACAACACACAAATTGTCACACAAGGCACACGTACCAAGCACGCCCTGAGCACCCTCTCCCCGCCCCGGGTTCCCAGTGCAGCCTGCAGGAGGGAGGCAGGAGCAAGGGTTCGAGGCCCAGCATTTACCGGCGTATAGGAGACGGCAGACACTCACCATTAACTGAACGCTGGAACTGGACTTTCTTTTCTGGAAAAACAAGGAGAAGAGATGGGACAGGAAAAGACACAGCGTGAAAACGGCAGGGAGCAGAGAAACGACAGGGGAGGTGTGGAAGGAGGATGGACCTCAGGGTCATCCTCTGTGGTCCTTTGTCAGCTTGGCCTTGGGACAAGGAGCCAGTGCCACTAGTAACAGCTACCCTGGCAGGCCAGTCCTGTCAGCCTGAAGGTCAAGGTCCTCATGCGCAGCTGCCTGTGTCTACCACTCTAACAACTAAGCCCAAGGCCAAGCCTCCTTGGACCAGGGCTGCCCACTATGCCTAGCTCTGATGGGGGGAGCCGATCATGGCTCTCAGATGCCGGCTGCCTAAGGCCCCCCAGTGTCCAGTGCTCTTGAAAGACTAAAGGGTGCTCAGGCCTGGAGATGAGGCCCTGTGTCTCCTGCTAAGCTCCTTGTGCATCTCTAAGAGTACCCCACGTCCCATAGACTCCCTTAGTTGGAAAATTTGTCAAAAATATACAATACCAGGTCCCCTCTGAGGAGTCTGATAACTAGGTCTGGGGTGGACCTGGGCATCTCCATTTTCAACAATAGCCCTAAGTAATTTCCAAGGAGAGCCAGGTGTGGGAGCCAGTCCTTTGAAATCCTGTTTGCTTTCACAACTTCCCATGACTGGCTTATTTAGCTCCTTTATGCTGATGGAGAAACTGAGGTGCAGCCAGAAGTGAAGCTGAGTCTGAACTTGAGTCTTTCAGCCCCGCCATTCTCAGCATTCCCTGTGTTGGCTATGGAACCAAGAGAAGGAGGACAGGGACAAAAGCAGATTTCCTTCTCCTTCCCTCAGCTCTCCAAGCCAGGAGTCTTAAAGACTCACATTCACAGAAGGTCACAGGTTGAGACTGACACTTGCATCACATAGTGGGAATCTGAGGCCCAGAAAGGCACAGTGGCCTGTCCTAGGCCTGTCAGCAAACCTCAGCAAGGCTGTGGCTAGAGCCCAGGCTTGTGTGCAGGGCTCCTTCCTCTGTCTGGGTCTTCAAGTACTCAGGGCTTAAGCCCTCTTCAAAGGCTCAGTCTGTCCTGGATGCCCTCACATCTGCAAAACCATAAGACCCTCCTCCCTGCTGCACAACAGGGGGGTAAAGATACAGCCAGTGATGCCCTCAGGGCAGGCCTTTGCCATAGGAGGCACTGGCTATTCCTTGAGGGTCTCAGGTCTAATTCTGGGCTCTCTGACTCCAAGATCTAGTGAGCTTTTGTGTGCCAAGAACCTAAGACCCTCCATCCAGGGCCTCCACAGACGTGGCAGGTGGCTCACTGTGCATTCCAGTGCTATGTGCTCCCAGGAGCATAGATACTCACACACTAGCCTCTTCTCCAGCTGGGCTGGACAGTGTGACTCCCACAGCCAGCAGCCTGCAGCCAGCTTCCCCTCTCCTGTCCTCTTCTCCCTCCCCTCCTCAACCTTCTCCACTCTTCTCCTCTCCTCTCCTCTCTCCTTTCCTAATTTTGGCCTCATTCCTGGCTGCAGCTAGGCCAGGCACAGTATGTGTGGGGAAGGGGACAGCCCCACAGAGCTCAGCTGTCAGCAGAAACCTGAGGAGCCGCACAGGGGCCAGGAGGTTCCAGGCGGGACACGAGGAGGGAACACAGAGCAGAGACTGCATCAGATTCGGACGCACAGTGACAGGATGGGACATGGGGGTGAGAGGTCATGACGGCACGGATGGGACACCAACAGGGGCAGTGAGTGGGGCTGAGGGGTGGGAGCTGCCAGCTCCTCCTCACAGAAATCAGGGCCTGGAGCTGGCCGGAAGGGGGACATTGCTTCTTGGAAGTAGAAAAGATCGATTTTCCTGAGTCACAAATGATGATAATCCTGCATTGACCAGCACTTTAGAGTTTGATTTAGAAGGACTTTCACCAAAAGTAGAGTCGCATCTCTCAGAACTATAGGCAGAAGCGTGGTACCAAGGTTAGCAAAGATGACAGAAACTGAGAATGTTCAAAATGGGTCTTGAAAAGCCTTTAAAAGCCCATGAGGGACATCGCATGACTGCATCATGTGACTGCTTTCCCTGCAGCACGAGAGACAGCCACGCTTCTTCAGGTAAGCCCCAGGTGAAGCAGCGGTTTGTCCCTAGGGACTGAGGTGTGGGAGAAACAAGTATTTCCCCTATAGCTGAAGGTGTGTCAGGTAAAGGAACACATGTGTGGTTCCTCTCGCCAGCCCCCTGCAAAAGACTGCCATGCTGCTCTGGTACAAATGCCAGAACCAATGGTCTGGGTTGCCCAGGGCAGTAACTGCAGGGCCGACTGGAACCTGTGGCTTCCTGTCTTGAGCTCCAGTTTCACTGGTACTGAAAACACAGCTGGACCACGCCACCCCTACCAACTGCTGTCCTTCCCTACAGGAGGGAAGGATGCTGGAGATGGTCAAAGTTGGCCTTTGAATTTGTCTTCTTCCATACCTAGGCACCCTGAGAAGTCCATCCTATGTTGCAGGAAGTGGTGGCACTTTGCTCAGCTGTGCCCACTGGAAAGCCTGCAGTGAGCACCAGAGCCTCACCAGGCTACAAGCTGTTCTTGCCCTCTGACAGCTCCTGCCCCCTGGTCTTGCCCGAGAAAAGCCTGACCAGAGTTTCTTCCCCAGACCCAGCCTGAGGGAGGCCCCTCCTGACCCGATAACTCAGGGGCTCTGCATTGGCCTTTGCCAGGGCAACACCCAAGAGCCCAGCACCAGGGCAGCCTCTCTCTCTGCCCTCTCCTCTTTCACCGACCTGGGCCATAGCCCACCAGTGCCTGTAGCCTCTGCTCCCACATCCCCCAAATCAGAGCCATAGAGCCCACTGCGCCCTTGCTCAGTATCTCCACTCAGGGGTCAGGGAAGGCCCCAGCTGCTCCAAACCTGGCAGCCCCACATTGCACATCTCTCGATTACCATTTCACGGGGGTGGGGTGGGGGGGGTGGTATGCAAGCCAAACTCACCACCAGATTTCATTATAGGGTTTGGAATAGGTGCCTCTTGACTTTATAAGTTGGGTTGGCTTTAGATTCATGGTTTTCAAATATTTTCTGGAACAAACTTTGTTTTTAAGAGAAGTCATACTTGAAAATCTAATATCCTATATGTAAAATGAAGAAAAGATGATAACAACTGGCATCTCGTGGGCATGCTTCACATGCCAGTGCGTGCTAAGCTATTGATGCACGTTATGTTAATTCTCACAAGTATCCCTAGGAGGTGGGGCCCCTTTTGACCTCATTTCATGAAGGAGGAGAAAGACAAGCTTGGGGAATCTAAATGACCACCCCAATGGCTTCTGGTACATGTGAGAAACCCAGAACCCCACCCCATCTGCTGTTGGAAGTGCCTCCCCAGAAGCTTTGGAATCCAAAGAGCTCAGTTTGAAAATCACTGACTTTGACTAATAACCAAATAATTGTGTATTGCTCAAGTACCCAAGATGAGAAGGGAGAATGGTTGGAGTTTGGTTGATGTTTTTGTTTGTTTATAAGCTGAAATCTTAGAAATAATCAAATCCACATCCCACCCATTGTATCTAGGGGAAAATTCAAGCTGGGACCAGGTTAAGGGCAGAGGGGAAGCCCAATTCTGGCTTTGGCCATCCAGCCCCGACCCTCTCCCATTCAACTCCTTGACAAACCAAGGCCAGTGGCCAGAGACCATACATGCTGCTATGAACCAAGCCATGAAGCCACCAGCACACCTGGGAAGCTGTATTCACACAGCATCCCACACCTTCCAATGTCCTGGGCACAGCCCAGCCCTGGGGCCCCGGACAGGCAAGGCTCTGAGCCCAGAAAAAGGCAGGGTCCCAAGAGAGAGAAGATGGAGAGGCAGGGGAGGAGCTGCAGAGAGCAAGGACCAGGCCCCAGAGAGCAGAGGGAGAAAAGAGAAGAGAGGAGAAGGAGGGGCCACAAGGCCTGGAGGGAAGTAGCTCGGGCAGGCTTGGGGTGGGACAGGGGCAGGCCAATGGGGGAGGAGGGGTTCTTGGCACTGACCAGTGGGCCTTGGTGGGGAAGTGGGCACCTCTTGATCCCAAAGCCCAAAGGAACAGCTGTATGTCCTCCATGGGCTTTCTGGGGTAAACTAAGGTAGACTGTGGAGCAGGTACCCATTCCAGCCCGCCTGTTCTCAAGAATGAGGAGGTCACCAATCACAGCCATTTCTGTCTCCTCCTCACATCCTCTTGCTCACCAGTTCTTCAGCCCTGGAGAACCACAGAAATCTCCTTCTTTCCTGCCCCTTCCTTTGTGCCAAGCCCAAGGCCAAGGTGTCTGCTTCTCCTCCTCATCCAAGGCCCCCTCCCCCAACTGCTCCCACCAGTCAAGGTGAGAAGGTGGGCACCAAAGCCCAGCTCTGCGTGTCTGGGAACGGCCTGGCCACAGATGTGACCTGTGTCTGCCCAGGACACCATCAGCAAGGCTTGGGTCTTGCCCCAGTCCTGAAAACCAGTCCCTGTTGGTGGAAACGCTGCCAGAGTCGCGCCCTGCTGAGCTGCCGCGGGACTTACCTTCACACCATCGTTCTTCTTGTTTCCTCCACTCTTCCCTCCTGTGGAGGACAGAAAGTAGAGGGTTAGCAACACCAGGCAGGGCACCAGGGCCCACAGGGCGAGGAACAGCAGCATCCACGAGCAGCCAGAGGGCAGACTGCGCAGGGAACAGAGCCGGCCCAGCAGTCCTCGGGGGAGACGGCCTCCTCCTCCTCCTCACTCCGTGGTGGCCCAGCAGTGCCAGTGGCCCCCTGGGTGGGCCTGTGCTCCCTGTTCTCAGCAATCTCAAGCGTAACCCTCTGGCTTCACGGGTTGAGGGAGTTATCCAATGCGTCCAGGGACTGTGGAGTTGCTATTTCAGCCCGGGGATTCCCTCTGGATCTCGATCACCACCATGCCGGTGGTGGCCAACCTGGAGGCCTGGCTGCCTGGCCCTGGACTGGACACTCCCTCCCCACCCTGGCCCTCTCTAATTTTAGCCCCATGCTTCTGCGGAGGTCATGTGTCAGCCCTGCCTACTCACTCCAGACAGCTGCAGGCCACATTTTGCTGGTGACAAGAAGCAGATGCCCCCGCTGTGGCCCACCCTGGCCAGAGCACCCATCCCCTGCCTTTCTCCACGGGCAGCACAGGCCTCCCTAGCCTCAGACTCCACAGCCAAACACTGCTGCTGGCTGTGTCCCTTGTGGCAGGGATAAGCAACAGCTCTCAGGGAGTCCTCCCCTGCTGTCATTTCCCTTTCCCTCCCTCCTTGCCTCCTGGCTGGAGCCCTGGAAGTGGTGATCAGCCAGGAAATGGCCTGAATGCCCAGGCCTGCCCCCAGCCTGCCATCTGGCTGCTTCAGACCTTAAGCAACTGCCTTAAACAAAACAAGGTATCTACAAAGGGCTTAGTACAGCATTTGATCTGTATGCAGTAGGTGCTCAGTAAATTGTAGCCAGGATAAGACCTTCTGGTGGCCTTGAGAGGTGAGCTAGGAAGGGGCATCCCAGGGCCCCATCCCAGAGCTAGGATGGGGCACTTGTCTGGCCAGCTTTGCAACCACCCTACATTTGCACCCAAGACCCCCTTGAGGCTCTCATCCAAAGCCCTTTACTTTCAAACCAAGGCAGGG